TAAATTTCAATTTATTCCATACAAAAAAAAAATAAAAAATTCAATCGTTAGGGTCACATGTCCCCATAGTTCCCTCTTTAAATCCGCCCCTCAGTGTTGTAAACTTGGAAAGAATTGCATAAAGCGTTGTCTGAAGAGACTAGCAGCAGCAACTCCACCCTCCATAGGATAATTATCCCGTCTCGGACCAAGCTCACGCTCAAGCTCATTTGAAACCCTAACTGCTTTTTATAAGCTTGAGGCCTTTGCCTCACTTTTGACATACAAGTTTTTCAAAATGTTCAGAAGAGGGTTTCTGAGTTGATTTGGTTTGGTTTGGATTTGCAACGCTACATCTGCCAAACATGCATGTCAATGTAAGAAACGTCTGAACGTCATTTGTTTGTTGTTAATTGCCTATGCGGGTACCATTAACGATCAGATTGGGATGGCTTTTTGCTTTCCTGCTAATATATTATTATATTATTCCAACACTATATGATTTCAAGTTCTTTATGATACCCAAATATGACATCGTAAAACTATTGATTGGTTTGTTTGCATGACAATAAATAAATAAATAAATCTAACATTGAAATTAATATAAAGGAAAATGCTACAATTTTTATTTTTATTAGACAAAAAGAGTACATCTATTCACAAGTTTATGCCCTAATCAAGTAGTTTTGGTAGACAAGTTTATGCCGCTAATCAAATACTTGTGGTTGACGTTTGAATTCACTATGTATCGTATCAAATATCAAACTTTAGAATTAAGATTTGCTCGGATCCTTATTTTTAATAGTGTATACTCATTTTAAATCTTTACTTTTATCAATAAACTAATATACTATATTATAAATCTAAGTTTAAAATATCGTCTATATTCTTTTTAAACATCAAAATTTCATATTTACACTCTCATATATTACATTTGCCCAAATTCTTATTTTAACACATTTTGAAAATCTTATATTAATTTTAAACCTTTATTTTTATCATTGTCTATTATAACCTTTTTAAAAATCCATGTTAAAAATATATCTATTTTTATCATTAAACCTTAAAGAAGTGATCATTTTACCCCCTTGCACCAAATCAGCCTACATACCAATATATCAAGCAATTAGCAAAAAAAGAAAAATACATAAACTCAACACAGATACAATTAGCAAACATATTAACAAAAACCAAAGCGATAACATGAGAGAGGGATCGAGCGGAAATTGCAAATATGATATTAAAAAAATATATAATAATAATAATAATAATAATAAAGAGTGGACCAAAACATGAAAGGAAAAAGAAGAGAAGTGATGGGGAAAGGGATGACGACACTATGAACACACATACCAGAGAACAGACGATAACATAACAGTGTTTATTAAACCAATTTTAGATATTATTGTTTGTTTGTTTCAAGCTTCAACAATGAAAATAAAAACGACAATAGTACGGAAGTGCTTCAATAAGAATTAACTATTTAACTGTTTGTAGTTTTTAATTTATTAAAATTGATTAAAATAATAATCTGGGTAAATATGATATTTTGATATTTTGAAAATTTATGAACATACACATATTCGGATATTTGGTAAATCATTTAACTTTTGTATTAGTTTACATATCATATTTATTAGGGATAATGACTTAAAGGGTAACATATTATTCGATTTGTACACATTTGGTCACTGAATTTTTTTTTCGTCCACATTTACCCCTTAAACTTGTTAAACTGTACACATTCAGTCCTTATGACCTGTTACTCCAGGTTAGCCGGGAAAAATGACTTGATAGGGTAATATATTTTTCATTTTATACACATTTAGTCCTTAATATTTTTGTATATATTTAGTCCTTAACATTTTTTTTGTTTCAAAATAAGTCTTTTTTTTGTACTCATTCAGTACTTATGAATGATTTCTTTAGGTTTTTTTCACGACATCTTACGTGAGACAATCATTGATGAGGTGCTTAGAGTTGTTGATGTTTATGTCCAATGCAATGTCGACTGCTTGGTTGCGTAAGTCTTGTGGTTTGGCTTAGGTCTTGTATTTTGAACATCGTAACTTCTTCATACGATATCAGATTTTAAAGATGTTTATCCACGTGTTCATTTTTTGAGTCTACTACAACTTTTATTAAGATTACTCCCGTTAAAATGTAATATATTTTTACTAACGATTTTATAAAAAAAACATACATACATGCATTCATAAAAAACGTATGGACAGGGGAAGACGCAGTAATACATAATAAGTGTTGCTGAGATGAAATAGGTGTTGCCGATACATGGAAAATAGGTATAAACGAAAAAAAAGCGAAAAATTTTCCACTGCGAACAGAAAAAACAGGTATTGTCGGTGCAACACCGGGACCATACTAAATCCGCCACCGCGTATGGATATAAAGATCGTTAAAATCTAAGATCATATGAAGAAGTTATGACGTTCAGAACACATGACCTAAGCAACCAAGTAGTCGAGATCGCGATGGATATAAGCATCAAAAACCCCATACACCTCATTAATGAATGTCCCACGTAAGATTTCGTGAGAAAAAACTAAAAAATAATTCATAAGTACTGAATGAGTACAAAAAAAAAATTATTTTGCGAAAAAAAAAAAAAAAAAAAAAAGACTAAATGTGTACAAAAATATTAAGGACTAAATGTGTACAAAGTGAGAAAATATATTACCCTATTAAGTCATTTTTACCGGGTAATCTGGAGTAGCTGGTAAATGTATACAGTTTAACAAGATGAAAGGGTAAATGTGGACGAAAAAAAAAAACTCAGTGACCAAATGTGTACAAATCGAAAAATATATTACCCTTTTAAGTCATTATCCCTATTTATTATTATTATAAGAAGGTCAAAGATACCAACATAATAAAAAGTTGCCTGAAATTCTTTTACTAGTTTCTTTCCAATTTCACAAAATGTACACATTGCAAACTAAATACATTTTGAACATTGCACTACACAACAAAAGAATATTGCAAAAAATTTAACCAAATGATCAACAAGAATTTGACCAAAAAGTGAACGGATTAATCAGCAAACAAACAGTTTTTTTTTTCAGTTTCTTCTATACATTAGTGATAATCTATAGTGTTTAACTTGCTTGTACTACTTAAACATTTAAGAAGTTTGTAAGTAGACATCTATATCTCCTATATTTCAAGAAATTAAGTATTAGATGTTGAAGGTTACTTACAAAATAGATGTAGCAATTGGATAGTAGCCAAAACGCAAATGTTTCAAGACTGCATCAAAATTTTCCAAAAGACAGATTATGAAGTCATAATGTTTCTATCTAAGAACACATTTAGGAATCAAAACAGTTTGATTCCTAAACTTGTTAATAATGAATGTAAAATATAAACTTTCTACAATATCATCATTTGATAGATAAACACTCGTTGCATTTAAAACTTCTTACATAAGAAAGCATAACACAAACATTGAAACTGCAACAAAATAAAAATAATTACCTCCCAAAATGGTGGAGCAAGCTGCGTTTGATGATGTTGTTATGAACATATTGTCTTCTTCACTATCAGGAATAACAAATCAATCTACATATCCTACTACTCTAACATCTTTAAAAACATTGAAAGAAAACAAACCCTTGTGAGATATACAGAATTAAAACTTTGAAGGCAATTCTTGGTTGAATTTGAAACTGAAACATTTATTATCTTTCAATGTATAAAGTTCAAAGAATGTAAATCTGCAATACCAAATTGAAGAGCTCAAGGAATGTAGAACCACAAAATGCAATTGTCATACAGGTCTTGACTCCATGGAAGAAAAGAAAAGAAAAAAAGAAAAGAAAAGGAAATGTTACTGGGAAAGCAGGAAAGACTCAACAAATGATATTCGTATACCAGTGACTGTTGCAGAATTAAAAACATGTACAATCGCTGCAGTCAGCAAATAGGTAATTGGAGTCACATAAACAGCTTCTTGCCCTTGTTGTTAATCAGCAGATCCTCAGGTCATCATCCAGCCTGCTGAATTGACCCAACAGATTGCCATTGTTATCTATCACAAGCATACCAATGCCCAAACCCAACCATGGTGGCTTGTTTCCTTCTTCTGTATCTACATTTTCACATAATTGACCTTCCTCCGTAGTTGTGTTTCCTCCTTTCTCCTCTGTGGATACTTCCATGGAAGTGGTGGTGGTGGTGGTGCCGCTGATTGTTTCATCACCACCACCACCACCACCGCCACCGCTCGTCTCGGTCTTTGAGGATTTACGAGATGAGCCGCTTTCTGATCCGAATGGGGCCATGTAACCCGGCATCAAACCCATCTTCATCGATTGGAGTGTATTTGAAGCCTCTTCTTCAGCATCACATGTATCATCAGACTGGATGTTTGAATTGATTACCGGGTTTTGAACATTGGCACCCCATCTATCCCACTTCTTCCAATGAACCACTTTCGATTTCGCAGTTGGGGCGTGATCCGGAACGACCCGACCCGACACACGCGTCTCCTTCTCCTCCCCCTCCGTAGAGTAATGATCGGCCTCCTGAGAAACCTGTGTCGACGATTCGCCATCGGATTTGGGTCGAATTGGGGCAGAAGCCGACAATCTTGCTTGAAACTCCTGTTTCTTGGTCGTATACGCTTTCGATGCTTCTTCCGCGGTGTTATATGTACCCAACCAAATTCTTTTTCTGCTAAAAGGATCACGGATCTCAGCCGCCCATTTACCCCACTTTCGCAATCGAACTCCGGTTAATTTCTTCTTTCCGGTTTGATCCGCCGAATCCTTCCGCTCCACAGGTTCCTCGGCTTCTTCAGATTTGACCCCAATCACAATTTCGCAAACAATTCGGCGTGGCGATGAACGCTCTCCGCTGTCCGCTTCATCCGATGATGAGTCGGTGGCTTCAGGGTCGGAGCAGATGACTCGAATTTTCCTGAGACTTTTGCCGGTGAATTCTGGTTGTTCCTTGTTGGTGACGTAATTTCTCAGCCTCTTGCTTACACGGTGTTCCGCCATGGTTGTTGATTCCCTAGGTTTTCTTCTTCGCTGTTACTTTGCTTGCTACACACACAAAAACACGCAGAGATGGATGGTGGTAAAAGAGAAAGAGGGGGATATATTCGAGGGTTTGTAAAGTTTAAACTCTAGACCGACGGAATATTCTTCCGTGTTATGTGTGTGAACTGTGAAGCTTCTTGAAGTTGGGCCTTCAAATTGGACCTTCAAATTGGGCCTAGAAATTGGCCCATACATTATAGCCCAATAATAAACCGATTAGTTAAAAGTAACTTGCTAGTTGTGAGTTGTGAATTGTGATTATGGGGAACCGGTTTGGGCCGGGTTTATTGTTCTCATCATGGATATTGTGTTAGTAGAAGAAATATTTTGATTGTTGGTTTCCATATTTTTGGATGGGACTAAAAAGTTTATCTGGATACATTTCGTCCAGTGTTATCATATGTAACATATATAAAAGTTTTCGTTCTAACAATCACAAACAATGAGAAATCATTGTGTTGATTAAAAAAATATTTTTTGGAATATAATAAGACATACTTCTTCAATACTAGAAAATATATATATACCGATGATCATGATACGTTGGATCTAAATTTATGTCGGAAGATTGTGAAGTTTTTAAAGATCAAAACAATTTTTATTTTAAAGAGCTGTTTAGTTCTGGAAAATTATTTTTAGGTTTCTAGAAAACTTTCAACAAAAATAATAAATTTGGTACTGAATAATTCTTCATATATTCAAAAACGAGATTACAAAAGTATATATATATATATATATATATATATATATATATATATATATATATATATATATATATATATATATATAAACTACGAAACTAGATAAAGATAACTTAGGCAAAAAGATAACCATAAACTAAAAATTCATAAATGAATCCTAAATAAACTTCAACGCTACCTCTCAAGTTGGACTGTGAAGATTTCAAACACCCAACTTGCAACGTAAACTTTGAAAACATTTCGCACCAAGGGCCTTTGTAAAAATATATGCAGGTTGTAACTTTGAATTAATGACATAAGTCTTTATTTCTCCACAGTTGACCCGTTCACGGACGAAATAGCAATCCATTTCAATATGTTTAGTTCTTTCATGATATGGTGGATTAGTAGCTATATGTCTTGCTACTTCATTGTCACACATTAGTGGAGTGGCTTCACTTTGAACAGCATCCAAGTCAAGAGGTAACCATCTCAACCATAAAATTTCACAAACAGTAATTTCCATGGCTCTATATTCTGCCTCAGTAGAAGAACGAGACACGACACTCTGTTTCTTTGTTCTCCATGAAACTGGAGCACCTCTAAGACTGATGTAATAACCCGTACAAAAACGCCTAGTAGAGGGATAACTCATCCAACTAGCTTCACAATAAGCTTTAAGAATCAAACTTCCAGATAAAGGCAAAAGTAAACCTTGTCAATAAGTGGACTTTAAGTAACGTAAAATTCTTATGGCAGCATTCATATAAGACTGTCGAGGATTGCTCAAAAATTAGCTAAGCTGATGTACACTAAAAGATATATCCGTTCTCTTCACAATGAGATACAATTACCTCCCAACTAACCTCCAATACTATGAAGCGTCAACCTCAGGGCTATTATCGTCTTTAGTGAGTTTCAAATGTTGTTCCATAGGAAAATCACTTGGTTTGCACGCTTGAACACCACAATCTTAAAGTATATCAAGCGTGTATTTTCTTTTACTTATAGCAAAAGCTTCTGAAGAACTTGCAACTTCAATCCTTAGGAAAGTATTTGAGAGGTCCAAGATCTCAAATACTGAATTGTACTTGCAACTGGTCCCTCACTTCTTTGATCTTGTCACTATTATTTCCCATTAACAGGACATCATCAACATATATAAAATTTGTTATATGTGTATCATTTTCTTACTAGACAAACATCGAATGGTCAGCCTTGGTGTGACATCCCCATTTTCACGGCCATAAAAGACCGATTTTGTTTATGCTTTATAAAAATCAGAGTACTTCTTTTAATAAAAATGTTGCAGAATTTGTTCCCAGAAAAAAAAACATGATAAATACGTTATCAAAGCATTTCCGAAGAAAATGTATTTTTATTCATTTTAAAACATTTGGGATGTCATCGTCAATACAGAAACATAAGCATAAACAGAACTTACATTTATTTACATTAGTGATCTATATCTCTTTTAAATCTCTCAGTGTAAAGTAGCTTCGTATCGACACCTGTGATACAAATAAGCTTGAGTTGGTCAGGTTGGGAAACCTGGTGAGTACATAGGGATTTCAATCCCATAATGTTATATCATATAATTTAGAACTTACAAAATATACGATTTCACCATATATATATATAAGCAACTCTTACCCCACCCCGTTAATCCTCACAACGAGACTATCCATACTCTCGGACCTTAAATTTTACCTCTTACTTAGTCCATACTCTCGGATCTAATCCATGCTCTCGGATCAATAAGTGTGCCCATTCCATACTCTCGGGTTAGGGACATGTGTCTGTGTGTAAATCCATACTCCCGGATTAATGACGAACAACTGTGTCCTGTCCATACTCCCGGACTAAGGACAACTAACTATGTCTTAATCCATACTCTCGGATTAATGACATTTGACCGTGTCCAATCCATACTCTCGGACTAGGGACAATGACTATGTCTAATCCATACTCCCGGATCAATGACATATACTAAAGTTCTAATCTCTGAGTATAACTCACTCATACTCGTAAAAAGATTCTACCCAATATTCCTCATAATTAATTTAGTTTTACTCTTTGTCCTAAATCATCTTATATAATCAGGTATGTTCTTTAGCACGTATTTCAGGCAACATCAAATAATTCGCACATAAACATATATTTAATACATCAATCAATACTTGTATTAAAATCATGTTCATGAAAGGGACTATGCACTCACTTGATTAGGTGGTGATTCCGAACTCAGACAACGTTTCGTTATCTCAAAACAAATTTCCTCGACAAAACCTAGTATCAATACCACTAGGGTTTAGTTTTAACGTTAACCGCGACTAATTAATAGTCTAGCTATTATTACTATTATATAAGCGTTAAATAACACTCAATATAACTCATAATAATAGCCCAAATAATTATTTTAAGGTCCTAATAATGTTACTATAATTAAATAAAAGCTATATTAAATATAGTATAGGCGTAGCTCACTTACAGCGGGGTTTTTATTAAAAACCGGGCTTCGCTGGAGCAGCGTTTCCGAGCCGAAAGCTTTTCTTCTCGGAGCCGTCGGGCGCTCCGGGGCTTTCTTCTCGTGCTAGGGAGGTTCCCTAGACTTGGGAGGGGTTTAGGGAGGTTAGAGAGAAGTTACAGAGAGAAAGAAAGGCTTATGGTGTAAAGAAATTATGAAGAGTTCATCTCTTATTTATAGGAATTTTATAGTAAAGTAGTCTCTAAGCTTCGTCCGTATCTTCCGCGTACGAGCTCCGTTTTCTATGTTATTTATATCCACACGTTGGTATTTACTAGTACTACAACTTTCATTTAGACCCCGTCGGCTAATTCTCCTTCTATCTCAGATTTACAAAAACTGTATCGTATTTATCGCGCACGAAGAGTAGCGACTAAGCTTCATCCATATCCTTCGCATACGATCTCCGTTTCTGACGTTATTTATATCCATGCGTTGTTATTTACGAGTACTACAACTTTCATTTAGACCCCGTTGGCTAATTCTCATTCTATCTCGGATTTACAAAACTGTATCGAATTCGCCGCGCTCGAAAAGTAGAGACTAAGCTTCGTCCATAACTTTCGCATACGAGCTTCGTTTTTGACGTTATTTATATCCACGCATAGGTAAAAATAAAATCTACAACTTTCATTTTTACTCCGTCGGCTAATTCTCGACCGATCTTAAATTTAACAGTAAGAGGAGATTATACTGTTAAATGTCCGCGTAAAATTCATAACTTCTACATACGGACTCCGTTTTCGTCTGTCTTTTTACCGTTGAGTTCCTATTAATGAGATCTTCAACTCTCATTTAGGTCGCGTAGGCCAAAAACCGCTCGAACTAAAATTCGAGTTTCGGGCCATGCACTGCTATGCCAAATGTTAGAAAATTCATAACTTCCTCATACGAAGTCATATTTGGGCGTTCTTTTTATGGATGTTCTCGGTTTAACATATTCTACGACTTTTGTTTAGATCACTAAGGCTAAAAGGCGCTCTATCTTAATTCACTATTTACGTTTCCCGGTGCCGTGTCGGTTTTGCCGAAAAACTTCGACGGGCCATAACTTCTTCGTTATAACTCGGATTTCGGCGTTCTTTATATGTACGGAACCCTTGTAACATATACTAAAACTTGGTTAAGATTAATCCTTCTAAATAAACTTCCACCAAAAACTCATTTTTGATGCTCATCGTCTCTAAATTGACTAGCCCGGATCTGCGGGCATTACAATTATCTCCACCTTAGGATGATTACGTCCCAGAATAATCAACGAAATAGGGCTGTATAATGACTTCGTACGTTATCTATTTATCCTAGGTAATAATCGTAACTTCTATGTTCCTTCGAATGAGTATCTAATTCTTGGACTTCTCGACTGCAGGCGGTGCTCGATCTTGCACTTGCTCCCTATCTCACATTAGACTCCAAATTATAACCTTTAAGTCACAATCTCGATCCTCACTGTATACGAACTTAAGATAAGTTTTTTTTATTACTACAATGGAACGATGTGTCATATTCTAATGACCTATCATCGTATGTTGCAACGCTTAGACTCAGGTCTCTTAGAGTCAAATTCAATAATGGAATATACTTTCCTTCATGTTCTAATGTGATATAATCACATTTTAACATGTAGAATTTCTAGGTAGTAGCTTCTTTAACAACGATCACGATAATTTTATTGATCGCTTTGATTATCTTTCACTTTAATCTTCTAGCTTAAGTCAGATGCTACATCGGACTTGGTTCTCTGAACCATG